TTTTTAATGTGTATAACAATATTACAATAATGATACTTTTTCTTTTATTATTATTAAGATTTAGCTACCATTAATAATTAATGTGTTTTCTATATATGGAGATTTGGTTTACTTATTTAACATTTTGAAGGGTCTCAACTTAATATTAGTTGAGCTTAACTTTTTAGTTATGCTCAAGTAGATTTTCAAAATCAACAGAATTGAGATCGGTATAAGCGTGAATACTGTCGACAGAATTATATTGGGCTTTTATAGTTCGAGCAATTGTCTAAATCAAAACCATAGATGACAATATACGTAGATCTAATTCACAATGATGAAAATATGTTGGTCAATATAATTCAATCAACAGTATTTTGTTTGGGGTCATTATTTGAACAATTTAGTATCTACATTTGTTTAAAATTCATATTAATTAGTTGCAAACAATTAAATTTGTCTTAAAACAAACTATGCGCGCGAGTTGGTTACTAACTAGTATTAGAGAAGTAAGTCGGCAACTTCATGGAAAAACTAAGTCAACTACGGAAATACGTGCTGGGAAGGTTAGCGCTGGGCAACAACTTCGAAGTACTACGGCAAACATGGGCAACCTCGCTATGGATGGTGTTCTGGGTCGGGAGGATATTTCGAGGCGGACTAGTGGGACCAGTATCAAGGGGAAGGGCACGGCCCAGGATGATCTTGTCATGGTTCCTGCCACTAGCGACCTAGACCCTACCAAGCGCCAGGCTGTATTGTTCGTTAGCCCCAGCCCTGTGCAACAAGCTATGGTGGTAGACTCTCCTACTACGAGTGGCGCCACCACCTCTATTCAGGAGGAACCACCCGACGATTCCCACACACCGTACTGTGAGCCGGATTTGAACATGGATGATGATGGGGATTTGTTGGCAATGAGCGAACGTCGCCCACACTCGTCATGAGGACTCGGACTCGAAATCCACGATAATGTCATAGTGGCTCAGGAGCTGATACACTCCATGCGAACGAAAACTGGGCCTACAGGGTTCATGGTGGTGAAGGTCGATTTAGAGAAGGCTTATGACTTCCTTCGCTGGGATTTCGTTGAATCCACCCTTCTCTTGGCAGGCCTCCCTCTGCCTTTTGTGACGGCAGTAATGAAGTGCGTCACCTCAGCGTCTATGCAAATCCTTTGGAATGGGGTCCCGGGTGGGGTTTAAGCCCTCCCGTGGGGTCCGTCAAGGTGATCCTATTTCTCCTTACCTCTTTGTTCTTTGTATAGAGGGCTACCCATGCCATTCAGCGAGCAGTTACTGGAGGCCGGTGGAGACCGATTACGGTGGGGCGCAGTAGAGTTCGCATTCCATATTTACTGTTTGCGGATGATTTACTTCTCTTTCTCGAGGCATCGGCGGATCAGGTGACTACGCTGCGGGAGGTCCTCGCGACCTTTTGCCACGACTCGGGCCTTCGGGTGAGCGAACCCAAAATTACCATTTTCTTCTCTAAAAACGTCCCGATGGATGCCCGTCTAGCTCTCTCGAGCATGCTGGGGTTTACAATGGTGGAGGATCTTGGATATTACTTGGGTGTTCCGCTCTTGCATGGCAGAATTAAGAAAAGCACTAATGAAAGGATCATTGAAAAGGCCGAGACTCGTTTGTCGGGCTGGAAGGCTTCGTCTTTGTCCATGGCGGGGAGGGCTGTCTTGACACAAGCTGTAGTCAGTGCCCTTCCCTATTACACCATGCAGTCCATCAAGCTACCCAACTCCATTTGTGAGGAGCTGGAAAAGAGGTGTCGCAGGTTCCTTTGGGGTGGTACGAGTGACACCCGAAAAATAAGTTTGGTAAAATGGCCGGAGGTTTATATGTCACGGGATGCTGGGGGTTTGGGATTAAAACGACAGAGGATAATGACTGATGCCATGCTGATGAAATTGGGCTGGAAGTTCCTCTCTAATCATAGCGCGCTTTGGATCTGGGTCTGGAAAGCCAAATATGGGGACGATCCCTTTCTAAGCTCTGCTACTAATCGAGGCTCTGTGGTTTTGCAGGCGGAGAGGAAGGTGTGGCCCCATGTTATAGCCGGGGCCCGATGGGCCGTATGTGATGGTTGCACGGTGAAGTTCTGGACGGACAGATGGCTCCCGTCGGATGTCTAATTAATCTCAGTTGCTACCGGGGCGGTTCCTTCAGAGCTCATCGCCCAGCCCGTACGCTTTTTTGCTTTGGCCGACGGTGGCTGGCAGTGGAGTCGCTTCTCCCATCTTCTACCGGCGTCCGTGCTGCTACAAATTTCTGCTATTTCCCTGCCGCGATCGGAGATGGGCCAGGATCGGTTATTCTGGGGACCATCCTCATCGGGTAAGTTCACTACCAGGTCCGCTTATGACATGTTGGCAGGGGCGAAGGTCCCTCGGGCTCGTCTATCGTATGGCGTAGAATATGGCAATGGCTGGGTCCCCAACGTGTCCGAACCTTTCTTTGGCTCCTTGTTAAAAACTGACTTCTTACTAACATGGAGAGAGCCTGACGGCACTTGACGGAAAATGTTGTCTGTGCAAAGTGTGGCCATAGCGAGGAATCGGCGCTGCATGTCGTACGTGACTGCCTATTGGCGGCGGAGATCTGGCGCCGACTAGTCCCTACCTCTGCCCATGCCGATTTCTTCACGCAACCGCTGGAGCCTTGGGTCTTTGCGAATCTGGCTCACTGGCCCGACGCCGAGGTAACGGGATGAAAATGCACGTTTGGGGTCGTAGTTTGGAAACTCTGGACGTCGAGGAATGAGTTGATTTTTCAGTGGCGCCTCCAGGACGTGGCGGCGTGTTTGTGTGAGATATCCACCTATATTGATGGGATGGCGAGGTTCAATGATAGTGCTGGCAAGCTTGGTGAGACGGGCCGTTTACGTTTCCCTCGGTGGATCCGATGGGAGCGACCGTTGCCGGGTTGGGTTAAAGTTAACTCCGACGGATCGTATAATGGTTTGTCGGGCATGGGATGTACTGGAGGACTAGTCTGGGATGATCAGGGCCGGTGGTTAGGCGGGTTCACGATGAAGATAGGATTATGTTCGATTATGGTTGCAGAGCTATGGGGGCTCTTTAGGGGCCTCACCATGGCCTGGGACTTGGGATTTCGTCAAGTGGTGGCCGAAGTTTATAATACGAGCGTTGTGGGCTTTGCTGAGACGCTAGATGATGTCCCAGGAGTGCATGCGGGCCTTGTTTTGGGTATTAATGAACTCTTGGGCCGACCTTGGACGGTCAAGGTGACACACATTTACCGCAAAGCGAATTTTGCGGCCGGCCATTTGGCTTCCTTCGCTTCGGACGGATTGTTGGGATACCAGTTCTACTCTAGTCCCCTCATTCGGGTTCGACAGTGGCTCCATCATGATATTCTTGGTGTTTCCTATTCGCGTAATGTGTGCGACTTGAGTCACTAGGCTTGAGACATTTTCTTTGTACCCAAAAAAAAAAAAAAGAGAGAAGTAAGAAGTTATTTTCTTAATTAATAATCGAAATTATTATTCCATTTAGATACATTAATAATATTCAACCAAGCTAATAACGCCTAAGTCAAAAGAATTTTTAACATTAAGCTAATGGCTCAAACTCATGATCATTACTCCTATAAGCCTATGACTCTTTGGCCAATTTCTTCTCCATTTGATTCCTTTACTCGGCCTTAAATTTCTGCACATTTGTGTATTGTTTTTAATTTAATTTGTTTATTATAGTCACCTCATCAATTGTCCTACATTATTTAGATTGATTTAATTGACGACATAAAAAGGAGCTACCTTTTTCTTCGACCACATGACACATGTGTTGACTCAATTAATAAATAGGGTAGGATCAATTACTATTAGTTATTAAAAAACACATATAAAGAAATAATTCAAAATTTGATGATTGGAGCATGCACTTATCTTGACCATCTTGTATTGGGGTCATTGAAATATGTTCAAATATTCCTCCAAAAAATATTGTTCATCTTTCTTGGTTCATGAGATGCAATGAAACCGAGAAAATGAAAATAAGATGGCTATTTAATATAATATTAAGGCTTGTGAGAACACAACGTTCTTAAAACAGATTCACCTCGTATGAATGTTTGTTTTTTAGGATACAAACGAAAAATCGAATAAAATTCGACGAACTGAAATTATGTCTGGACCAAAACACAATAGAAAAAAATAGGAAAATGGATTCTAGTAATTTTTTTTTCTGTTTTCTTCTTTTCGTTGTATGTTTTTTCTTCAAAAAAAGAAAACTCTTTACAGGGGCATAGCCAGAAATTATTTCATCCTGGGCTGAATAATATGCAACTCTTATTCAAACCGAGATGTCATTAAACATAGTTCGATTTGACTTATACAAGTTCGAGCTTGACTTGCTCGTACATTTAAACGAGCCAAATTCGAACAACTAATCGAGTTTGCTTATCAAACAAGTCGAGTCGAGGGTGTTCGCAAATAATTCAGTTTAATCACTCATCAGGATTAACTGGTGATATAGCCATACTCGGGTAAATCGATTACAACAGCTCGACCGAGTTGTTAAGTCGAGCTATGACAATGTCAATTTAAGTGAGAGCGAAGGATGGAATTGTCTATCGCGAAAGTGAAGTAACTCATCCAAGTTCAGGGAATGACGACTTGGAGGAGCTCAACTTCGGCAGAGAATAAAAGCCCTTGAGAGGCTTGAGAAAAGAATAAGTATGAGAACTATCAATATCATTGGGATAGAACTTAGGTATCTCGAGGTCGACTCCAGTCATTGTAACTTGAGGTTGAGCTCATCTACTACTCAATTTGAGGTCGTCCCAACAACAACTGCTGGGGGACT